AATCCATCGCAGGGCTAAATGTATATTATCTTGCAACAAATTACTAAAATAAACTTAAGATTTTGTCTTTATAAATGACTGACTGATTGAATAATATAGTTTAGCCTCTATACAACATCAGTGGATATTGTTCTAATTATTTGGTTCTGTGGGCTTTGGTGTTGTTCAGGGCAAATCAGGTTTTAATTAGTCTCAAACCTTGTGATGTGTAAGGAGAAGTGTAACTGAAGGAAGATGATGCTGGTTCTGGAAATTAACAGCATGTACATGTCATATAACTGAAATTTAGGTTTTCAAATAGCTTAATAGACAATTATATATAAAAAAAGATAGCAATGTTGTTTTTGATATCAGGCACTTTGACTTGTTTTACAGAAGGTTTTTAATGCTTCATATAAATCTGGAGAAGCTGATGCAAAAGAAAAGATTATACTGTCACTAAATGAAGTCCAGTCAGTCTGGGTAGAGAAGGAAAAATGGCAGATAGGTGCAATGTATTATTCAAATCCTTCATTTACTGGCTAAGCCAATTTGGTGCTGAGCCAAGTAACAGGGCTGGCAATAATTTGGGGAAGGAGACAGTGACTGCTGGTTGATATAATGGAATATCTGCTGTCAGCGAAGTGCAGGAGATCCATCTTACTGGAGAAGCAGTAGGACAGACATCTACAGCTGCTACACCAATGATAATGGGAGAAATAGGGAGCTGCATTCAGGTGTTAAATAAAAGCTTTACTTACATATTGTGTTGGTGTTCTCTGAGCAACACACAAACACAGTAAACAAAATGAGTGTTGTAACAGTATGAAGTGATGTGACCTGCGTTTTAATTGTTCCCATGTTGTTTGTTGTCACTTCTGTTTACAGCAAATACAAAATGAAAGGGTGGGATTTCTTTACTTGTCTACTTTCAAAATTGAGCATCCTTTTGCTAGTTTTTTCTAGGAATGCCACTACCTTTAATATTTTTTGTATGTAAAAAAGAAAAAAAACTTGTAACTGTCCAATAAATGTAGTCAAGTTCAAAATACAACATTTGCTTCTGCATCATCTGTTTTGAATGTTTTCATGCAATTCAGTGGATGTTATCAGTTGTCATCACTCCAATAATTAAGTGTCAGATGGGGCAAACCGCACCTACCAATAGGCCAGAAGGTGCATATCATCAAACCTCTGGGCTGCAGTAAATATGACAGGGGAAAAAGTCAGATAATATAACAGCAACAAAATATGTATAAGGAAGAGACAGCTATTCATTTCCTGTTTTAAATCAGTAGTCAACATTATTACTTTATCTTTCCCTCAACATGACAAAGTAGTTTTGTTGCTCCTATTCCTGATACACTATATGCATATTATTGTAACCATGACAATGAAGGTCCACTACATGATGGCTACTGAGTCGACTAGGAGGTGGAATTGGTATAGAGTGACAATAACACATGAGTCTGAAGGTTAGTGAAGTATAAAATGCCATGCAATGGAAATACTGAAGGTTTAATATTCATATACAGTATATCAGCACTTTCCAATAAACACGTGAAAGCCTTATATACAGGTCCTCTTCATATCTTAATCTAAAACAAGCAGTGACGAAGGACAAATTAGAGCTAAAAGAGGAAAGACAAACGTAAAAAAGGTACCAGTTTAATCTGCGCTGCACTAACTGAAGAACTGCACCGAGCAAACCAGCTCTAAAAAATAATTTGCATAAACACTAGGTAGAGCATTGAGTTGGACTAGGTTACGACACAGATCCCAAGCCAAGAGCCTCTGTGGGAGTTCCATTTGCATCTATTTAAATGTTTAGTCAGCCCTGGATAAACTGTTTGAGATAGTAATTCATCTTCTATATCCCACTGTAAGTTTTCAAAAAGTTTTAAATTGCATCTGGAAGGGACTCATAATCATCCCTGAGCAAAGTATTGGTTTTCATTCACATAGATTTGTTGTCAGCTGGTGTGAAACTTCTTTTGTTCTGCTGAAATATCAATCACTCGTCAACTAAAGCGGGGAGACCAATTTGAGATTTATTCTCTTATCAGTGGCTCTGCAGGAGTAGTGAAATGTCGCTTAAGCCAAGGTATCACCTTCGGTGAAGTTTATTGTCTATCTGCTTTGACTGTGTCAAGGCTCATCATCCAGCAGTCATAGTGCCAAACTTACCTCATAATTTCCCCAAGAGCTAGAAAACGTTAGTGTGAGGACCATGCATGCTCTGTAATTTCAGTGAAAATTATGTCCCCTCATGGTGCCCCTCCTCCTTTGTTTCCTGTGAAAATATTTGACAGCTTGGATACCGGGAGAGACAGACAGCTCACAGTGCAGAACAGCGCGTGGGCAAACTCAGCCAACACTCAGCGAGGAGGGCCGAGGCCCCATGGTGGCTGCCTCAGCGTGACCGGTCGGATAAACACACCACCTACACTAAAAGCCTTACAAAAGAGACAAGGCTATTCCAGCAGCTATGACATGCAGCCTGTACCCTGACTCTGCAGTGAACGAGGTTTATTTATGGTTTGGATGGAAGAAAGGCTGAAAATACCTAATACTGGTACTTTCAGCTCTCCCAACTTACGTTTAGAGTCAGCTGCTCCCTTCCAACCAATGGAGCGGAGCTCTGCAAATCATGTCTAAATCATATCGATACACTTACAGGGACTGTACAGTGGGATTATTTTGGCAAGGGATGCAGGACATAAATAATTAAAACTGCCGAAGTGCCTGAGTGTCTGCTTTGGTCATTTTTTTATTTACTGCTTCTTCTCTATCCATTAGCTTGGAGGCAAGAGGGGAAATAGGCCTATGCCTATATTTTACTCATAATACCATGAAGAATTGCACTACAGCCATGATTCAGATACTTACTTAGCCTTG